GACCCCTTGGACTATAGCCCGTCAGGCTTCTCTGCCCATGGGATTTCCCAGGCAAGAATACTGGAATGGGTTGCCATTTCCTTCTGCAGGGGGGATCTTCCCAACACATTGAACCCTGCTTGGCAGGCAGATCTTTATCACTGAGCCATCTGGGAAGCCTCTGGAGCTTTTTAATTTTTGGTAATTATTTGTAATTGCTAGTATTTTTATCAACTGCAGTGTAGAAGTTCTCGGTTCTCTGAGCCCCACAGGGGAGTTGAATTTTCCTGTCCTTTGTCTTTTAAGGAACTTACCACTCTACCTTGTTATTCATATATATATATATGTGTGTATATATATATATATATACATATATTATATCTTATATACATGTATATCTTACAATATATATATCTTACTTCAAACATTATTTTACCTTTCTTCCAAATCTGTAGGCTTTGTACCCTGCTAGATGTATGCTCCAGAGTCTTATGTATTCACTATATATGTTAACTGAATGAATAAATAATGGTATTTATCTTAGTCTACCATCTTACATGGAAAAATGATAAAGCTATTTTAGGGATCATCAAAGTCTTGATTAATAATATTTTATATATTAAAGTGCTTTGAATGATAGAAAAGTAAGATGCTTAAATAATACACTTTTGATGTTGTCTTGGTTTGCTGGTCAGTTTTCCACCTTGAATTTCCTCTTGGTTCATCTTTTTTATGCTTTTAAGAGTTTGTCTTTGAACTACCGGTTTTATTTTGTGATTTTGAGAACTTCTCAGTAACACTCAGAAACCTTCTGAGTTTATAGTGCAAAATTCAAAAAGCTTATACCTTTGTTAAGTTTATACTCTTTCTATAATACTGTACATTTCTCACAGAAATGTCTTAGGCAACACATTCTTTAATCTTTTTAGTATATAGTCCTTTCTTCCTTCATCATAAAGCTGTAATATGTCTCTTCAAATAACAATTTCTGCTTCATCTTCTTTGTTATCTTTTGTCTCTTTGATGTAATGTCTTACGAAATGAAGACGTAGATTGTGTTTTTCTAATACAAAGGGAACTGACAGGTTAAAAATCAGGTTGACATGTTTAAACCCATTTCACATACTTGATAACTGGTAAGTTTTGTTTTCCTCTGTGGTGTTGGATTTAGGCAAACTTAAAACAAGAAAAATATGGTAAAGAAATACTTATATTTAAAAAATTCACTTCATTTTGAACTCTAAGCATTTAGTAGAATTTTTCCTGTTATTTTGCATCTTTTTTCATTGGCTTTGGGAATTGTTGCTCCATTGTTGATTGCTTTCTCCTTCATATTTTTCTTGGTATTGATGCTTTCCAGATGTCTAATTCTTGTTTAAAATGTTTCCATTGATGACTTTTCCTTTGACTTCAGATTTGTGGTACTGGACACCATAAATTTCATGGAGCATTCTTACTTAACTTTATGTAGTTACTTCAGAAACATTACAGTGGTGATCACTAAAGTGTTGACATTTATCTAGCTTAGCTATTTTTAATTCACTGTGAAGTTTCTTTGAAGATATAGAAAGGAACTGTAGAAGAATATATAGATTCTCAGTGAATTAGGTGATTTTTATTTTTACACTTTTCTGCTTTGCTTTGAAGATCTCTTTTAGTCTTACAGAATGGGTATTTATTTTCTTAGAAAGTTTGGTTTCCCATACTTAATACTTAATGTATACTTGTATATACATTCAGTTCAGTTCAGTCACTCAGTCATGTCCGACTCTTTGCGACCCCATGAATCGCAGCACGCTAGGCCTCCCTGTCCATCACCAACTCCTGGAGTCTACCCAAACTCATGTCCATCGAGTCGGTGATGCCATCCAGCCATCTCATCCTCTGTTGTCCTCTTCTCCTCCTGCCCCCAATCCTTCCCAGCATTAGGGTCTTTTCCAATGAGTCAACTCTTCGCATGAGGTGGCCAAAGTATTGGAGTTTCATCTTCAACATCAATCCTTCCAATGTACACCCAGGACTAATCTCCTTTAGGAGGGACTGGTTGGATCTTCTAGCAGTCCAAGGGACTCTCAAGCGTCTTCAACACCACAGTTCAAAAGCATCAATTCTTTGGTTCTCAGCTTTCTTCACAGTCCAACTATCACATCCGTACATCACTACTGGAAAAATAGCCATGACTAGACCAATCTTTGTTGGCAAAGTAATGTCTCTGCTTTTAAATATGCTATCTAGGTTGGTCATAACTTTTCTTCCAAGGAGTAAGGGTCTTTTAATTTCATGGCTGCGGTCACCATCTGCTGTGATTTTGGAGCCCTAAAAAATAAAATCTGACACTGTTTCCTCATCTATTTCCCATGAAGTGATGGGACCAGATGCCATGATCTTAGTTTTCTGAATGTTGAACTGTAAGCCAACTTTTTCACTCTCCTCCTTCACTTTTATCAAGAGGCTTTTTAGTTCCTCTTCACTTTCTGCCATAAGGCTGGTGTCATCTGCATATCTGAGGTTACTGATATTTCTCCCGGCAATCTTGGTTCCAGCTTGTGCGTCTTCCAACCCAGCATTTCTCATGATGTACTCTGCATATAAGTTAAATAAGCGGGGTGATGATATACAGCCTTGACGTACTCCTTTCCCTATTTGGAACCAGTCTGTTGTTCCATGTCCAGTTCTAACTGTTGCTTCCTGACCTTCATACAGGTTTCTCAAGAGATTGGTCAGATGGTTTGGTATACAATGTTGTAATCTTAATGTTGCTTTTAAGAATCTCCATGGATGATTTTACTGAGAAACATTAGATGATAGAATCATTTTAGTCTTTTCGGGGAGATAAGGGGCTTTTAAGGGAAATACTTTTTTTCACTTAAAAACCATGAATACAATGTCATTAAAATAATCTTTAAACTAAATTCATCTACTATTATAATGCAGATTTCAGTTTTATGTATTCTGTTTCAATCCTTATCTGTATGCACATGTTTTATTTACCTAGTTGTAATGAAAATATATATGCATCTTATGGTGATTATTTTTGTTATATAAAGTGCAACATTAGCTGTATAATAGTGCTCTAAATAAAAGCAAATCATTTCACCACAAAATAAATAAAAATAAATCTAAGTAAAAGAAATCATTCCATTGTCATTAGTGTTAGTTGCTCAGTCATGTCCAGTTCTTTGCAATCCCACGGACTGTGGCCTGCCAGTCTCCCTACACCAAGTCCATGGAATTCTCCAGGCAGGAACACTGGAGTGAGTAGCCATTGCCTTCTCCAAGGGATCTTCCCAGCCCAGGGACTGAACCTGGGTCTCCTGCATTGCAGGTGGTTCGTTCACCGTCGGAGCCAACAGGGCACACGTTCATTCTGGTCTAGCAAATGTGTCCCCTTTAGTCTTTGTCTATCCGTATGCAGAATTTAAAATGTGATGATTTGTACCTGATTTTATTGTATTAATTATGGATGAATTTCATGGATAATATGCAGACCTCCCCCTCCCCCAGAGATTATCACCTACCAGGCCAGCATTCCCCCCTAGCTGCGAGGCTGCCCATTACTGCCAGTATACTTAAACCTACCTAGAGCTAATTGAATGTGGGGAGGCAGAGGGCATGTCTGGACCCTTGCCTCCTTTGCAGTCCTGATGCTTTCCTGTCTGTGTTAGTAGTCCTTTCCATATTTCACTATGGGACCATTCTGGCTGGTGTCATTATGAAGACTATTTTAGAAAAATATCTTCATGCAAGTCATTTCATATTCCCTGTTTTCATCCACATCTCTATTTTTAATGAAAGGTAATGGGGCTATTGCCTGAATGTGTAGTTCTTTACTTTGAAAAAGTAAGTGTTAGTCAGTGAGTTGTGTCCAACTCTTTGCAACCCCGTAGTCTGTAGCCCACCAGGCTTCTCTCTGCATGGAATTCTCCAGGCAAGAATGCTGGAGAGGGTATCCCCAGAGGATCTTTCTGACCCAGGGATTGAACCTGGGTCTCGCACATTGCAGGCAGATTCTTTACCATCTGAACCACCAGAGAGGCCCTTAGCTGCCCTAAACATCACTTAAACCTCCCTTAAACACAACTTGACTTTAAACTAGCATACTGGACATAGCAATTTTGCAAACATAAATGCTTTAATTTTCTTCAAAAATTGATTCTTAATGCCTGCTAACATGACCCCCTCCCCTGCCCCTGTTCAGTCTTCTAGTAATTTGTTAGACTATATGACATGCATTACCTGCATCCCAGGGTGGATTAATTGTGACCTTGAGATGTTTATAATTTCTGAGGGCTTATTACAAGAATGAGAGACAGTGCTTATTCTGATGGCTGAAGGATCAAATGTCTGCCTTTCAGTCATCAGTTGAGACAGTGCACTTGTCAAGGGAACACCTTTCTGTGTCCATTTTATGACAGTTGTCATGATTAGTGGGTATTCTGTGGCTTTGGAGCAGTGTGCTCTGTTGCCACCTTGCTGAACGTGGCTGAGAAGTAGAAATGGTTTCTGCTTATAATCTATATAATAAGGCAGATATTATCTACCTAGGAGAAAGTGAAGGTTTCAGGCTTTCAGTATGAACAATATTTGAATACTCATGAAGTAGATGATTTTGGGGTTCAGGAATATTATCCTGGGACAGAAAACTGCCTGATAAAGCATGAGCATAAGGAGTAAGGTTTGCATTTCAAGGCATGTAAGTACATATATTTCTCAGAAGGAACTGGAATTATTGTGCTACTGGGCTACCATAGGAGTATTAGTTATATTTGAGCCATTAGGACCAGTATGCACATGAGTTAGCTGTGAGTGAGGGTGGGGATATCCCCTAGCATTTAGAAAAACTACAAGTGTTTTCTTCTTTCTCCTTTCCTCATCCAAAATTTGACAACTGTGAAATATGATAGTTCACTATAAAAATGAAGATTAGATTGTTAAATAATGCCTCTTCATTTGTTTAGAAGTTTCTTCGTTTACCTGGGTGAAAATAACTGGACTTGATGGGTTTTTCATTTTTCTTTCAGGCTCAGTTTATGAACCTCTGAAAAGCATTAATCTTCCGAGATCTGATGAAACTCTGTGGGATAAATTGGATCACTATTACAGAATCGGTAAGCTAAAACTGAGGAAAGCAAGTCTTTAGGTAGTTATGATTAACATCTATTCTGCCTTAGTTAAATTGCATACATTATATGGATGATGATCTCTCATTTGAGTGTTGGGGTAGTTTCAATGCTTAGACAGCTGTATATTCCAATTGCATATTGATATGGAGACTATAAATGGAATCTGGCAAGTCATATCTGTCCCTTGAATAATTTTGAAACTGCCACTAGTGTCTTCTGTGTCCTTTTAGCCTTCTTAAACATTAACACACTTGAGAACTAGAGGCTGTTTCTTGACTGATTCTTACACAAAGATTTTGTAGAAGTATTCCTTGCTCATTTACCTATACAAAGTTATAGTGTAGTCCTGAATCTTTTATATCCATTTCTAATTCATTGAGATACAAAAGGCAGTCTCAATACTGTTACTGATATAAGGTCCTGTTTGTTTCTTTTGTTTACTCTTTTGTTTTTGTCAGGATCAACCTGGCAAATTTTGTTTTTTAATGTGAGTAAGCAACTTAGAGACACACATATATATATAGGGCTCTTTTTGTTCATCAAATGGTAAAGCTTTTTTTTGTTAGTTTGATTCTTATGCCATTTATGTGCCCTAGTATGTCAAATACAAAATCTGATTTCTCTCACCAAGGAGAAGAATTGTTTTGTTTCTGTCTGCATCATGTGAAACATTATTTCAGAGACTTCCCTGGTGGTCCAGTGGTTGAGACTTTGCCTTCCAATGTGTGGGGTATGGCTTTGATTCCTGATTATGGAGCTGTTGTTCCTATGGCATAGGAACCTGGAATGTTAGGTCCATGAATCAAGGTAAGTAAGTGGTCAAACAGGATAGCAAGAGTGATCATTGACATTTTAGAAATCAGTGAACTAAAATGGATGGGAATGGGCAAATTTAATTTAGATAACCATTATATCTACTAGTGTGGGCAAGAATCCCTTAGAAGAAATGGAGTAGCCTTCATAGTCAACGGAAGAGTCCAAAATGCAGTACTTGGATGCAGTCTTATAAATGAAAGAATGACCTCTGTTCGTTTCGAAGCAAACCATTCAGTATCATAGTAATCCAAGTGTATGCCTCAACCACTAATGCTGAAAAAGCTGAAGTCAAATGGTTCTATGAAGACCTTTAAGGCCTTCTAGAACTAGCATTAAAAAAGATGTCCTTTTCATCACAGGGAACTGGAATGCAAAAGTAGGAAGTCAAGAGGTACACGGAATAACAGGCAAGTTTGGCCTTGGTTTACAAAATGAAGCAGGGCAAAGGCTAACAGAATTTTACCAAGAGAATCACACTGATCATAGCAAATTCACTCTTCCAACAACACCAGAGACAGCTCTACACATGGACATCAACTAGATGGTCAGTACTGAAATCATGGTACTCTTTGCAGCCGAAGATGGAGAAAGGTCCACATAGTCTGCAAAAACAAGACCAGCAGCTAACTGTGGCTCAGATCATGAATTCCTTATTACAAAATTCAGACTTAAAGAAAGTAGGGAAAACCACTAGGCCATTCAGTTATGATCGAAATCAAATCTCTTATGATTATACAGTGGAAGTGACAAATAGATTCAAGGGATTAAATGTGATAAGAGTGCCAGAAGAACTATGCACGGAGGTTTGTAACATTGTACAAGAGATGGGGATCGAAACCATCCCCAAGAGAAAAGAAATGCAAAAAGGCAAAATGGTTGTCTGAGGAGGCCTTACAAATAGATGAGAAAAGAAGAGAAGCAAAAGGAAAAGGAGAAAAGGAGAAAACCAATCTGAATGCAGAGTTCCAAAGAATAGCAAGGAGAGATAAGAAAGCCTTCTTAAGTGAATAGTGCAAAGAAATAGAGGCAATAGAATGGGAAAGACTAGAGATCTCTTCAAGAAAATTAGAGATATGAAGGAAACATTTCATGCAATGATGGGCACAATAAAGGACATAAATGGTATGGACCTAACAGAAGCAGATGATGTTAAGAAGAGGTGATAGGAATACACAGAAGAACTATACAAAAAACCCTTATTGACTCGGAGAGCCACTCACCTAGAGCCAGACACCCTGGAGTGTGAAGTCAAGTGAGCCTTAGGAAGCATCACTATGAACAAAGCCAGTGGAGGTGATGGAATTCCAGCTGAGCTAATTCAAATCCTAAAAGATAATGTTGTGAAATAGCTGCAATCAATATACCAACAAATTTGGAAAACTCAACTGTGGCCACAAGATTGAAAAAGGTCAATTTTCATCCCAATCCCAAAGAAGGGCAATGCCAAAGAATGTTCAAACTACTGCAAAATTGTGCTAATTTCACATGCTAGCAAGGTAAAGCTCAAAATGATTCAAGCTAGGCTTCAACAGTACATGAACTCAGAATTTGCAGATGTTCAAGTTGGATTTAGAAAAGGCAGAGGAACCAGAGATCAAATTGCCAACATCCGTTGGATCATAGAAAAAACAAGGGAATTTCAGGAAAACATCTACTGCTTCATTGACGCAAAAGCCTTTGACTATGTGGATCACAACAAACTGTGGAAAATTCTTGTGGAGAGGAGAATACCAGATCACCTTACCTGCCTCCTGAGAAGCTTATATGCAGGTCAAGAAGCAACAGTTGGAACCAGATATGGAACAACAGACTGGTTCCAAATTGGGAAAAGAGTAAGACAAGGTTGTAGATTGTCACCCTGCTTATTTAATTTCTATGCAGAATACATCATGTAAAATGCTGGGCTGGATGAAGCTCAAGCAGGTATCAAGATTCTGGGAGAAATAGCAATAACCTCAGATTTACAGATGACATCACTCTAATGGCAGAAAGCAAAGAGGAACTAAGCAGCCTGTTGATGAAGGTGAAAGAGTAGAGTGAAAAAGATGGCTTAAAAGTTGACATTCAAAAAATTAAGATCATGGCATCTGGTCCCATCACTTCGTGGCAAATAGATGGGGAAAGTAGAGACATCACTTTGCCCACAAATGTCTGTACAGTCAAATCTGTGGTATTTCCAGTAGTCATGTGCAAAAGTCAGAGTTGGACCATAAAGAAGGCTGAGCACCAAAGAACTGATGCTTTCAAAATGGGTTGCTGGAGAAGACTCTTGAGAGCCCCTTGGAGAGCAAGGAGATGGTTAGATAGCATCACTGAGTCAATGGACATTAACTTGACCAAACTTCGGGAGATAGTGAAGGACAGGGAAACCTGGTGTGCTGCAGGTCATGGCGTCACAAAGAGTTGGACATCAATTATCGACTGAACTGAACTGAATTTAATTTGTCACATATAGCTAGTGGACAGCTGTGGAGCTAAGATCCTACATTCTTTGTGGCCAAAAATCTAAAACATAAAACAGATGCAATATTGTACAAATCAATAAAGACTTTGAAAATGGTCCACATTAAAAAAAATCTTAAAAGGAAAACGGTAGTTCAGCTTATTGTGTTCAAGATTCTTACCCACTTATCTCTGTAGCCATAACTAACTGAAGAAATTAAACTGCCTTTTAAAAGAAGTGTCAGTTGTTTACTTTGCAGTGTGAGGACCAGTTTTTTACTCTGGGAAAAATAATAAATACTTGGGTATTCTGAAAGACATGATAATGATTATGTCAGTTTAGTTTGAGAAAAAGTAAAAGAAATTTAATTCTTTAATCTCTGTGATAGAACAGAGTGCTTTAAACCTTTGAAAAACTGTTCTAAAGTAGTTGACATATGCCAGTCTAGATTAGAGTAATTTATTTTATTTTAGGGAAAAATATTACTCATTCATTTATAGTTAGACAGGAATAAAATAGCTTTTAGGAAATGTCATTTTAGAGTGATTATTTTTCTATTTTAGGACTCTTTTATAAAGAGTAATACAGTCTGCTTTCTGTATCTGCAGATGCAGAGCATGCAGATATGGAGAGCCTACTGTACTAGCCATGTTAGATAAGGGACTTGAGTATTTGAAAATCTTGGCATGTATGGCGGGTGCTAGAAACATCCCTATGCAGATTGAGGGATGACTAGAAAACCTTGATTCCAGACTTCTTTAACTTAAGTGGAATGTTCATAAAATAATTACTTGTTTCCTATTTTCATGTCATATTAGGATGTGATTCAATTTTGAAATGTTAAACATATGTCTGACCTGTACAATATATAAGATGAATACATTGCTCTGAAGGCCAGGCACAAATTAGTCATCTGTGAAAACCAGGATTCTGGCCTCTTTAGAATGAGTTATCTTTGGATTTAGGAAATTTATGCAACTCTTTGTTATATATTTGCTTTATTTTTCCCTATTGAACTGATTTTTGAGAGTATACTTAGTTTTTTGGCTAATCTTTTTTTTTTCCTGTATCTGATATTGCCTTATAACAGTTACTGACATTAACAGGGATGTGCTACAGACTTTTTATGTGCCAGTTAGCTGAATTCTTTCCTCAAAAGTGAAAGTACCCCTTCATGCGGGGTGGATCCCTACCTAGGCTGGAATTATTTACCCAGAGTTGTTTGTACATCTTCAAAAGTTTTATGCTGCAGCTAAGTTTAGAAAGAACAAAATTGTAGGATAAGGAAACCACAGAAGTTTAAGACCTTCAGCTCAAGGGAAATAGAGGACTGTACAATTCATTCTTTTTCTTGTCTTCAATTGCAGTCAAGTCAACATTGCTGCTGTATCAAAGTCCCACCACAGGTCTCTTTCCCACTAAAACATGCGGTCACGATCAGAAGGCCAAGATCCACGACAGTCTGTACTGTGCTGCTGGCGCCTGGGCTTTGGCTCTTGCATACAGGTAGGCCGCTGTGCCTTCTACTTGTAGCTCCAAGTCTGGGCAAGATGGTTTTGTAGGCCCAAGACAAATTGGACAGCTATCTTTTGGCTCTGCTTCTGAGTCACTGTGTGACCTGCAGCTCTTCACGTCTCCTTTCCAGCCTCTAAACCTTTCAGTTTTCCTGAGGGTTTACATTAGATATATTGTTTTTTATGACTTTGTGACTAACATTTCTCATCTCTAGGTTTGTAAATCAGCTTTAGTCTTTAATAGAACGAATTGCCCATTCTCATCAAATTGATTTGTTTTGACCATAGAGGAAATTGACAGTGACTGATGATGAAACTAGAGCCTAGAGTAGTTAATAGAGTAGTTCCAAATAACACACCTAGTTAATGATAGAGCCAGGACCAAAACTCTCCTTCCTTCCCCCAGTTTAGTGTTTTACTGTTTTTTAGTCTTTTTTTTTTTTTTTTTTAGTGTTTTTCTAACTGTACTTCATTGGGATATCACGAAGTCAGAAAATTCTTATAAAGTAAAAGAAAAAGAAACTTTTTCACAATACAGAAATTCTTTTTTCATTACTAATACCTGTTTCATTTCATTATTTATTTATTTATTTCATTATTAATATATATGGATAGCATCAGATGTGGGTCTTGACTTGTAGTCAATAGTGATACATTTTAACTGTTAAAAAAATTAGATTTCTGAATATTAATTTTCTGAAGGTAGTAAATGCATGTGCCTCTGATTTGAAGATTGTATCCTTAACATGAATATGATTACGCTGTCTTAAATAATTGATGTGTTTCACTGATGTTAGATACGTGCTTCCTGAAGTGACTCATCACCCATATCTTCTTATCAAAATGTGTAGATGGCTCTACCATAAATAAAGTCAGACAAAGCCAGATTGTGGCTACTTATAAGACAATTTGCCTGGGCTCTTAAAAATGTAATCATAGATTAGAAAATAGGTATGAAGATGGCTAGATTATGAGAATCAAATACAATGTATGAGCCTTGATTGAATCATGCATTAAAAAAAACTAAAGTATATTGGGATAATTGGATTATATTTGATATACAGTATATATTAGACATTATGTCTATGCTATTAGCTCCTTGGTGTGATAATGATATTATGGTCATAAAGGCAAATGACCTTATTTTTAGGGGATACTTCTGAAATATGTATGGTGTTAGTGCAGAGAATAAATTATAGATAAAGAATTCAAGCTAATTTTATCAGCTCTTGAATCCATGTGAAGAGTAGAGTTTTATTCATTGTAGCAGTTGTGTAGCTTTTGTATAGATTTGAAATTTTTCTAAATAAAGTGTTCAGGGAAAATTGCTGAAAAAAATATAAGAGTACAGGCCATTTTCCAGAAGCCTTAAAAAATCTGATAGAGAATTTAAAGTCCGTTCTTTATTTACTAACTATTTATTTACTAACTCCCTGGATAATTTATCTTACATAGTTAAAGTAACAACTTTTTGTTTTACTAGCAAACAAAATGTCTTCTGTTTGGAGAAACACAAGGGTACTTACCACAGAATTAGGATGAAACCATTTTTACTTCCATAGTATTAAGCTGTGATGATTTAGATAATCCCCATGTTGTAAAATTAGTAGAATTCTGTTTCCAATTCTACTTATAAATGCTGATTAAATCATATAGATAACATTAGGAAAAATTCATCAAAAATTAAGCTGTCAATATTTTCAGGGATTTATATCTATCTCTTATTGGTAATGCATGCATAATATGAAGTCATTAATTTTTTAAAATGGGAGTAATTAGATTTTTCTAATTGCCTTAGTTTTCAATCAGTCATGTAAACAATCTCTTGAAACCTCAGTTCTATTTGAATGTGTGTGTATGTACATGTGTACTGAGGACTTAAAATAATTATTTTATGCACATTTATATTTCATTTATGTTAGGAGTATGGTTTTATTTAATTTAATTAAATAATTGGATAAAAGCAAGAGGCAGTGAAATAGCTTATTTGTAAAATACACTTTGACATAGTTTGTTTTTCTTAAATGCAATATTATAGTTTTACTTTGTAATTTCGTTTTATTTTAGAGGAAGAAAGAAATGCTTACTAATATGTTTTACTTTTTAAGGTGTCTTTTACACATATCAAATTGTAGTCCTGAATATACCTTTGTTTAAAATTATATTGCATTATATCTAATTATATCTATTTATATTACTTTATGTATAATTATATCTATATTGCATTATAATTCTGTATGAATATAATTATAATTATATAATTAAAATTTATATTTAGTTATGTAGTTATAACTATTATAATTATTTTATTTTATAAATGATTATATTGCTTTACATGATTTAGGTTAAAATTGTTTCTAAAACTAGTCAATTGTACAAAATCTTTTAAAAGAAAAATTGAACCTATACTTTGCATGTGTGCCCAGTTGCTCAGTCATGTCTGACTCTCTTATGACCCCAGGACTCTAGCCCCCCAGGCTTCTTTGTCCATAGGAGTATCCTGGGAAGAATACTGGAATGAATTGCCATTTGCTCCTCCAGGGGAACTTCCCAACCCCAGGACTGAAGCTGTGTCTCCTGCGGCTTCTACATTGGCAAGTGGATTCTTTACCACTGAGCCAGCTGGGAAGCCCCGAACCTGTACTTTATGCTATACTAAAAAGTATTATGTAGAGTTTTTGCATTTTTTGTTCTTACTTCTAGAAAAAAAAGCATGACTTTAATTTAGGGTTTAAATATGGAATTTAGTTTTCTTTACTTTTTATGTTTGAGAAGAGTAGCTTTTTTTTTTTTTTAAAGAGTATTGATTTGAAAAAGCACTTTAGACTGTTTAAATGTGCATATGTTAGAAAAACTCAAGGTGAGGTATTGGTAAGATACTTTGCAGTACTGTCTAGGAGAGAGAGGGGAATACTTCATGCAAGATGTTGGCCTGTTCCCTCTCAGTGTCAGGTTTATTGCTATTTTAGGAGTTAAATATAACAGGTGGCCCTAGCTTAGTCCTTGTAAACAGTCAAGTCACATGACCAAACAGTATTCTGATTTTATTTTCCTTGAAACTTCGCTGTGGGGAAATAATGCACCAGTGAGAGGATTTAAGTGTTTAGTTTTTCACTAGTTATATAATTTTAAGTTTTCATTTAAGGTTTTGATTTAAATATAAACTTAAGACTTAATATTATAGAAATATTCAGTCAATATCACCACACGGCTTGTGATCAGTTAAAGTTACTTATCTGTTTTTTTTTAATTAAATGTTTTATTGAGATCATATTAAAACTTGAATGTACATCAGTAAAGCTTGCTAGTTCTTGGTAGAAAACAGAGGAATTATTTTGGATGAAAAGATTCATTTTAAATCTTAGGAAAGGAAATAGATGTATACTAGTTGCCTAAATATTTTTTACTCAGATGCAACTGTTCTTTCATTTTCTAAGTCAGAAAAGAAATATTCTTCTGGTTACCACTATTATTTGCTAAGGAAAGGAGAAATAGAAGCATCATTAGGATAGAAGAATTCTTTATTGTGGCTAAATTATTGTGGGATATTTTAGACTTGGTCTAATGCTTGTGGAAATTAGGGGCAGAGAAATTGCAGTCAAGGTAATTTTAGAAAAATTGGATTTTGTTTCTTTCTGAATTATTTCTTTGTTTTTTATGAAGTGGGAATTATATGCAGAACATTTCATTGAGTTCATTCTACTCCAAATGTGCTGTTTCCTTCATTTATCAGTGCCATGTCCAATGTTATCCACTCCATAATTTGCCTGTTAACACTTGATTCTGACATCATGGGAAAAAAGATCATAGAGCTGAATCATATTAGTTATACCTTAATGCATGCCTGTGAAAAGAAGAATGATGTTCTAATGACAAATAGACATTTTTACTGACATTCACCTTACTATATTAAAATGATCATTGTTCTTTCTACTGCTGGTATATGAGATCTGTAATTGAAAGAAGAAGTAATTGTAGTTTACTTTTTATGGAGAACAGATAGTGTTTTTTGTCAAGTGAGGATGATAGCTTGATATTTTTCTTATGATTTAGTAAAACAATGAATAAGCTACTTTTATTTTTTCAAGAGTGGAAAGCATCTTTTTTGAAGGCCACTGATCAATAATAAAAAAGGAACTTAAAGATCGAAAAACATCTTAACCTAATTTAATATTTAAGTGTCAGCTGTTTGTTTTTTTTTTTCATTTTAAAAGCAGGAGTTGTAAACTGTAGTCAATTGATTTTAAACTAAGACCTGAGAATATAAAACTTCATGCCCAAATACATCAGTATCGTCTTGGATGCATTTTTGTTTGAAGGCATTGCTGACTGAAGTGCCCATTCTGGCATTCTTAAACACATAGCAGAGCAAAGAAGACATGGGCCTACCTTAATCTACACTTCTTTGGATCCAGATGATCATTGCATAACCTAAAGGGACTGGTATTTAAAATTGCCTGTGCTCTGTAAATGGTGAATTAAAAAAATCCATTGGTAGATTTTTCTAATATAGAAATATCCTTTAAAGTTTCAGCCAAGTCAGTGTTGAAAATATTATGTACTATTTTTAACACAATTGACTTACTTCCTTAAGACAAGGGGAAATTTGCACAATTTCATCATGAGATTTTTTTTTTAAGCATTTCTACATCTGCTGGGAAAATGGAGTTTCACTGTTACAGAATTAGTAGTTGTCACCAGAACATAGGATTAGCCAGATAGTTAAATACTTAATTATCAAAAGCTCTGCTTCCTTTTCAAATGCATTTCCAATTTGTTTCATGAGTTATCTCTCTCACCCAGGCGCATTGATGATGACAAGGGAAGGACCCATGAGCTGGAGCACTCGGCTATAAAATGTATGAGAGGAATTCTCTACTGCTACATGCGTCAGGCCGATAAGGTAAAACACTGTAGTATGGACTGAAATTCTCACATCGTTCTGAGGGATTAATTTAACCAGTATAGCAGTAGCATCTTCTGAAGAAGGATGTACTTTCAAAAGGTAAAGCCACGTCCTGGGGCAGTCTGGATAGATTAAAACAGCTCTGCCTTCCTAGCCCAGGGTTTTGAAATACTGAAATTGAAGAAATACCTTAAGCAAGATTGATTGGGAACTGTTATTTGGGCTTGAATTTGTATTTTGCATCTGGTGTTTGCTCAGATAAATAGTTTCTCAAGAACGTCATGATATGCATAATTCTAACCAATATTGTATTAAATAAGAAAATCCTTTTCAAAATTCATTTTGTACATGTCATTATTCTAACTGAACTTTAGTTTAGAAATATAATCATTCATTCATTTATACATAAAGAGGGCAGGAATTAAAGGCTTAGAAAACAGCAGACTTTACAGGATTATTTTGGAAATTAAACAATGTACATAATAAAACTTTTTAAACTAAAAAGCTCTATACATGTGATATTCTCCCTACTTACCTACATCTCTGTGTTTCCAGGTCCTAATATATTGTAGTACATGTTAATAAATTTACATCATGCTTCCTCAATGACCACTCCCAGGTCTGATGATTTATTAGTAAAGATGCACTTCAGTAATTAATGCAGGCAATTTTGATCACTTAATACTTTGTGTATCTCTACCATATGGATATTATATTAAGTTTTTGTGATAGCACATTTTTAAAGACCTGACCTGAAGTCAAAAATGCAAAAAAAAAAAAAAAATCCTATATATTCTGTCACCAAAATATGGCAACACAAAAAGTTAGTTTGCAGAAAGTAAATTTATTCACAAGTTGATAATAGAGATATATGAAAAACCTGTAATTTGTCTACTGAGATTTGACTTTGCAAGTCATTATTATAAAGGTTTTTCAATGCTTGAAACAAAGTAATATGTCATATTGACATTTAATATTTGAATTAAATTTGTATAACATATTGAAGTAATTGTGATTAAAGTTTTTTTTCCTAAGTAATATTTGTTTCACATTTATCATTTCATGAATGCTTAATATGTATGAATTCAGCTTTTCTCTCAAGGAAACATTGTGTGAGCCATGAATTGTGTGAGCCATGTGCTTGCTAACCAGGTTAACATACTTAAACTATAATTGTTTATCAAAAGGAAGAAAATGATGTACTATAAATTTTTTTCTTTGTAACTTGTTTAATCTTTTTAATGTCCTTTTCTAAAGATTATTCAGCTTTAATAACAAGTATTCATAGTTTGGTATTCTTTTGAATACAGCTTGAATGTAGCTTAAACTGTCCTTGAATTCCTTAAATTACAAAGTATTATCATTTTTTGCCTTATGTGAGTTGTAAGAAGGTACAGATCCCATTAGGATTTGGTATTTCTGCATACTACAAAATGTAGAATTTTACAAGTTTTAAAACACTGTTATTGGTATAATCTTTCTTGAACCCCATAACCTTACAGTAGGAATAGAAAATATTGCTACAATGCACATATGACTCAGTAAGACTAAACCATGCACGCAGCTAATTACCTCCCACCATACCTTCCCCTTGGTGCTCACTATTTCCTTCATAATTTCATAGCAGTAGACATTAATACCATACTTTTAAATGTGTAATTTTATCTTTTGGCCCTCCCTTAAAACTAAAGTAAAGTATTGTAATATTCATGTGCTGTTTGACCTTTAAGCTCATCTTCTGAAGTAAACTCATGACTTAGTGAAAATTCTGCTTCTCATTGTAAAGCATGCTTCCTGATATATTTTCTAATAATACTACCTAAATTGGATGTTTTGATTTATTTGAGTGAATAGTTTTCTTTGATTTGAAGAATGTAGACCAATCTAATTTCTATTACTGTCTTTCTGCTTGTATTAATTTCTACTTATTAACATTAGTTATTTTTTACCTCTAGGTGTTCATATATCTATTTTTATTAATACGTCTTAAAGAGGAGCATTCAGATTTCAAAACTGATTGAATCTGCAGTTCAGAGAATAAGGATCTGTTTTACAGTGGGCTGTGAATGTTGCTATCCCTAATTGTCTGCTTAAAAAATTTATTTCCTGAAAATGCTACATAAGTACTTTCTAATTCATGAGAAATCATTAAATTTTTATAAAATTTATTCTTCCTCGATTCCCTTACAAGGTGATTTTCCTACCTCAGTGTATATTTTAAGTTTATAAATTAAGAACGGATGACAAAATACTCAATACCTTTTCCTGAATGATAAACTTGCTTATTCACAATGATTAAAATTTTGAGGAAAAGTCTAAATAAAATATAAGAAGGAAAAAACATTGTTCTAGATTTCTTTTAATCTAGAAATTCTTACTTCAATAATAACTCTTTATTTTTACTTGCCATATGCCAGATATCATACAATACTAATTAATATCCTCTTGATTTTGGCTGCTCTCAAGAGTACTTTTTGTCTATATTTTGTATACAGTATGCTTCATTAATTTTCAAAGCTTATTGAATTTGGGTCTTTTTTTTCCCTGAAATTTTAAATTGTCTTTTTACAGCTTTAAGGCTCAAAGCATAATTATATAATTCACTGTTTGATCATCTCTGATCATTTAATAGTTGCCTTTCCTCTGGCACAATCATTGAATATAAATTCTCATGCTGGGTACTTGTGTGTCTTGAAGACAAATGACAAACACTGCTTTGTCAACTGCAGCAATCACTTTATTAAACTAATAAAACTTTATCCATTTATATTCTTATCAAGTGGGCAAAATAAATTTTGTTTTAATTTAACCGCATTTTTGTCTTAAGAGCCCAGAAAAATATTCAGTGCTTTGAGATAATAGGCATGGTACTGTGAAAGTAGTGACCACAATGCTTTCTATATTTGTGTACCCTGAGACTGTTACCAGCAGTTTCAGACACTGAGATGGCATAGCTGTCTCACCTTTTCTGAGTTAACACTGGGTAGCTTGGTCACTACATAGATGGAGAGTGTACATCCATACTTTTACCCTCATTCTCTCATTTCTGATTATCTGCTGGTAGTTCCTGGCTTTAATTTTGTTGATTTCAAACTGAGGGAGGGCTTGTGGGTAGCTCAGTGGTAAAAATAAACACCTGCCAATGCAGGAGCTGCAAGAGATATGGGTTCGATCACTGGGTCAGGAAGGTCCCCTGGAGGAGAAAATGGCAACACAATTCAGTATTCTTACCTGGAAAAATCCCACAGACACAGGAGCCTGGTGGGCTGCAGTCCATAGGGTCCAACAGAGTTGGCCACACCTGAACATGCATGCATAACATAACATATGTATTTATGCAGATCTCTTGGTGGGGGGTGGAAAGGTGTGTTAGCCCTCTAGTACAGTACTGCCAAATTTTCTGTGATGATCTAAATGTTCTCTGTTAGTGTATTGAACAGTACAGAAACAACTAGTCACATGTAGCTTTTGAGCACTTGATATGGGGTCATTGTGACTGAAAAATTGAATTTCTAAATTTTATGTAATTGTATAGTCAAAGCTATGGTTTTTCCAGTATTCATATATGGATGTGAGATTTGAACCATAAAGAAAGCTGAGTGCTGAAGAACTGATGCTTTTGAACTGTGGTGTTGGAAAAGACTCCTGAGTTCCTTGGACAGCAAGGAGATCAAACCAGTCAATCCTAAAGAAAATCAGTCCTGGATATTCATTGGAAGGACTGATGCTGAAGCTGAAACTCCAATACATTGACCACCTGATGTGAAAAACTGACTATAACTTCTCGAAGCTTGAAAGATAGTGGGAGATACAGAAAACTAATAAAAAGAAAACACTGGAGAAATAAATAAAGGATAAGCACCCTTATATGGGAGTCCAGAGGAAGGAATTTTAGTTGGGGTTCAGAAGGGACTTTATTAAAGGAGGTCTTTTTAAGATAAGACTTTAAGGATGAGAAGAAATTTGAATATGAAAAAGAGAGTATGGTTCTATGTGCTTCCTTAGCCAAGTAAAACAAGGCAAGATCATGAATACTCAGATACTATCATCATTTGTATCTTTTCAAAGAGAGAAGAAAGTCATTGCTTTTACCTAGAACTATGCATTATTCTATTCATTCTCTATTCCTATTCATCTTATACTTCCAGGGAACTAGTAGTAGACATACTTGGCATATAACTTTATTAGCATATGTTTGCAAAATTGAATTAATATCTGCTTGTCCTTGGAGTTTGTCTCTTTTTGTCATTTAATACTTAATTAGTATTCTAACATGATTAAATTTTATGTTGAGTTAATAAGTAAAGATATGGCCTATATTCTCTTGGAATTGGTGCCTTAGTAATGAGAGTATGTGTGGTGAAAGAAATGAAAACATGTTGACAGGAGCATGGTTACAATTTGTGATCCTTGGAGAAAGAAAAAGCATTTGGCATTTTGAAAATTTATTGAATTAGAATGTGACCTGAAGCGCTCTTTCACTGAGTGTCATGTAAGCATTTCCAAATGGCAGTACAATGGGATACAGTCTCTGAAATCCAGTCTCATAGAGGAAACCATTATTTGACTCTAAAATAAGATGCAAAACATTCAAAAGCCAATGCTAATACATTAACAAGCTTCCTATTATACTTCAGTTGTTTGTGAAGTATCAGTTAAGTATTTAACAGTCATGTTAACTCTATAACATTAATAATCATGAGTTTTATCTGTTTTGTTTCTTTAGAAAAAGCAACATTCTGCTTTGTTCTATCCTCTGTCTATAAGCTGTAGCTTTCCCCATTAAAAAGTCTCTTGCAAAATATATAATCTCTGATTTTGGATGAAAATGTGAATTAGTAGCATCATTTAAATTTTATATTTTATTCCAGGTCCAGCAATTTAAGCAGGATCCACGTCCAACAACATGTCTTCACTCTGTTTTCAATGTACATACAGGAGATGAGATCCTCTCCTATGAGGAATATGGGCACCTTCAGGTAAAAAGAGGACACTACACATTTTCTTCTGCATTTTTACTCTTTTATATCATAGAATGTTTGAGGCTATTTACATTTTTAAAAAATTAGATTTACATTTTTTTAAAAACTTAAATTGTTTAAAATGGAAGTAGAGAATCAACCATGAAATGAAGAAATCCAGAGGAACTGAATTATTGTGATTGAGCATTAAATATTATTGCGTTCTTGGTCCAAAAGCAAAAAGGGCAGCTGGAGGGATTATAATACTACTATCTAGAAGAAGGAAGGGATCCTACAGCTCTTTCAGTGACAAAAGCTTGTGCTCATTATCAAATTTGAGGAATTTCAATATTTAGGAACTAGGGAATAAAAGACAACTGACAGTAATATAACAGCAGATCAGAAGTTTTTGTTACATGATAGTCCATTTCTAATAAATCAGCCTTCAATGATGCTAAAAATGTACCACTAAAATGATAATTCCAAATCGCATTTCTGGGTTAAGTTTTATATTATTTTAAATTTTATATATAAATTTTATATGCTAAGAATACACTATAAAGCTTCATATTTTGTTTTCATTTTTTCTCTCACATCTGTGTACCCCTTTGCCTTGTTTCTAGTACACAAGTATTATATATGCTATTTATCTTTAATGGATTTTCTTCCTCTTCATCATTTGGTTCTGTTGTCTTTAGAATAGAATACTTACTATTCATATATTCCTTACTAAAATATGAGTATCTCCTTTTTATAGTTCCTTTCTCTCTAGAGATCTGAAACATCTTACTTTAGAATGACTCCTCCAAACACAGAAAGTTCAGTGTCCCCATTTCTATGCAGCAGAAACTCTTAATAGTTATTTGTAACCAGTTCTGTGGAGATTTAATGTTATACAAATATGTGGTTGTTCAGCTGTCTCATAATTTTTCAAATAATTAGGTTTTCTGTACCTTTTGCTCTCACAGATATGTTTACTTTTTGACGTAGGGTTTTTAGAAGATAATGATTCATTTGTTTTTGTATCTTAGAATTTAAATGTAATGCCTAGCACATAGTCGGTTTCAAATAAATGCTGGTCAGCCTGTTATTTGGTAGTCCCATACATTTTGCCACTTACTGATATTTTCTCACAGAAGCCTCCTAAAAATCACAGCAGAGAGCTCTTTGAGATATTGCTGTAGTTGGCTGTCAATGGAAATGAAATTTCTTTGAGATGATTTCTGACAGGCCAGTGTCAGTGCTCTATGAGAATATTTGGGTGACCCAATGGGATGAAGCTCTTGCTTACTATGTTCTGAGCAAAGTCACTCAAGAGTTAATGTTGATCTTTTATAAAATCCTCCATCTTTTTATGTGGCCCACTTGGACCTTGACAAGACTCTGAGACCTACTGGACTTTGAGTGCTAGGAAGTCAAGAGACATTCAGGATAGTCCTGATTCCTGAGAGAGTTACCCCCACTGGCAGGCCCTGGTGGCACACAGCTGCTTTGTCCAAGGCATCTAGGGCACAAATAATTTTCTGCCCCAACTTTCTGTCTGTTACTCAGAAAGGATTGGAGGAGAGTCAACGAAGGCACAGGGCACCAAGGCTGTTAGTGGGTAATAATCTTCTGGATTAGAATTATATGATAAGAAAATTATATCTTATCTCCTCTTTGTTTTTACCTCAAGTTAGCTGTTTCCTGGCTAAATGAAAATTTTTCACTGCTTCTCATTTGTTTGTTTATGGGATAACTTTATTGAGATATAATTCACATAATATATAATTTGCCTATGTAAAGTATACAGCTCTTTAATATATTCACAAAGTTGTTCAATCAACATTGCAGAACATCTTCCTCACCCTGGAACAAAATCCAGTACCTGTTAGCAGTCACTCCTCATCTCCTTCAAAGACCCCCACTCTAGGCAATTACCAGTCTACTTTCTGTCTGTATGAACAAGCCTATTTTGTACATTTCATATAAATGGAATCATATACCATGTGGTCTAATGTGACCGATTTCTTTCTTTTAGTGTAATGTTTTCAAGGTTTGTCCATGTTGTGCTATTTATCTTTCACTGCTTATTTTCTCAAGAAAATGTATATAGCCCTTTCAGAATTCTATGAGCATCTTAATTTTTGGTTAAAGGGGACATTATTGTCTTCTTTTGTTTGTTTTGTTTAGAGCATACAATATTTATCTTTAATAGACTAATAAACTAAAAGAAAAAGCCTCGTTTTTAGAATACATTTTTCATAAATATATTTTAAATGTTTGATAAATATGTTGCTACAGTTGCTTATATAAGTTCTGTATTCTCTGAATACAGGATGTGCTGCCTATTGTTTATGGTGGCCTAGTCCTAATGTCTTACTGTCCAGTAATTTTTTCATTTACCCACTCTTGAATTGGATTCACATTATGTAGCTGCCCAAGGGACAAAACTATTTCAAAGTGAAAGCGAAGTTGCTCAGTCGTGTCCGACTCTTCGCGACCCCATGGACTACAGCCCACCATGCTCCTCCGTCCATGGGATTTTCCAGGCAAGAATACTGGAGTGGGATGCCATTGCCTTCTCTAAATCTACAGTTTCAAAATAAATCTTAGAAAGCAAATGTCATAAAAATATTCCTAATCAGCTGTTAATAACCATCATAGTGAATTTGAGGATTTTAGGGTTTTATATACAAAGCTGAGATTTTATTATGAACTAAATCCACAGCTCCTTTATTTTCCATAGGAAAGAAGACAGTTTTATATGCTACTACAAGAGCAAATGACTTGTAATCTTAGCTTTTACATTTAATTTTGTAACATAGTATTTTTGTCATTTTCTTTAACCTATTGTAGTGTTTGTTGGTTTTCAGATAAATGCAGTGTCTCTCTATCTCCTTTACCTTGTGGAAATGATTTCCTCAGGACTCCAGATTATCTACAACACTGATGAGGTATGATTTTCCCAAATTTCATCTCTAAGAATACCTTTTTTCTTTTACTTTTTAAAACTTATTTTTAATTGTGTAAATTGGGTTATTCTTAAACTCATATAGTCAGGTAAGGAATTTTGAATGCTCAGCTAAAAAGTCTTTATATTATCAATGCAAAGCACTTTAAAAATAAACAAAATATGTAACAGGTTGTAAAATTCTACTCCTATGAAGGCTATATTTCAAGTATTCTGAAATAAAACCTTGTAACTTTCAAAAATTTTAGTAACTATAAAAATAAAAACCTTTCCAGATTTTCTCAGAATTATTGTCTTCTTTTCCTTTGTTGCTTTTTGTAACCCATCCTTTTAATAGTAAAAATTCATTTATCATGTTTTGTTATTTTTGTTTGACTTCAGTAGAGTTCTTAATTTTTTCAAAAGATAAGTATCATGTTTTTATTCTTATTAGGAAATTTGAAAATAACTGTATCACAAAGTTGAGAAATTTTTCATAGGCCCTAATGCTTGAACAAACATACAGACAGACCCATATGTTAACGTATTTTGAATTGTGTCACAGTTGAAGTGAAAAGCTATTATTATTGAGATGGTATACAGAGTGAGAAGGGCATCCCTGGTGGCACAGCAGTAAAGAGTCTGCCTGCAGTGCAGGAGAGGTGGGTTTGATCTCTGAGTCAGGAAGATCCTCTGGAGAAAGAAATAGCAACCCACTCCAGTATTCTTGCATGGGAGATCCCATGGACAGAGGAGCCTGGCAGACTGCAGTCCATGGGGTCGCAAAGAGTCGGACACCACTTAGCGACTAAACCACCAGTGAATACAGTGAGAATTCTATCAAAGAGTAGATATATTATATAGTTATATATTAGTTATTATTTTTTCCTAAGATCCATGCATGGAGAACAGTTTATCATACTAAACAGTAAAGTCATCACTGGACTGCACTCAGGGTGCTATGAAATCAGTACATGTAGCCCTGTCCTCCAGTAGTTCATAATCTTATACATCCACTGTGCCTTTTTAATACACATAAGTGAAACCTATTTGGAAATACAGCTAAATAATAAAGAAGCAATAATAATAATAAATAACAGTAACTACTTATGGTTTCTTCTGTTTTATTTATCAAAGAACTACATGTTATCATCCAGCTAGTTCTCAGTTTTCATAGTGTTGTGAAAATAGTGATGCTCAAATATTTTGGGTAGGGGAGGGGTTGGGAATCAGACCAATCTTACATATATATTAACTAAATACAAAGTTCACCTAAGTCAGTCCCTCTGTTTATTAAAAGAGAGAGCTCATTTATATCTGTTGGAGGGGGCAAAGTAATGAACTACCACATGGTATTCTATGTTACGTTTTAGGACATACTCTATAAATAACCTAAAAGTAGATTAAAATAAGCAAGAACTGTATCATTCAGAATGGATCCCGAGAAACTTACTTTATTTAACATTAAAGGACCTCACATACCCCCATAAGTTCAGTTCAATTCAGTCACTCAGTCGTGTCCCACTCTTTGTGACACCTTGGACTGCAGCATGCCAGGCTTCTCTGTCCATCACCAACAGATTACTCAAACTCATGTCCATCGAGTCAGTGATGCCATCCAACCATCTGTCATCACCTTCTCCTGCCTTCAATCTTTCCCAGCATCAGGGTCTTTTCCAATGAGTCAGTTCTTCACATCAGGTGGCCAAAGTATTGGAGTTTCAGCTTCAGCATCAGTCCTTCCAGTGAATATTCAGGACTGATTTCCTTTAGGATTTACTGGTTTGATCTTTTTGCAGTCCAAGGGACTCTCAAGAGTCTTCTCCATCACCACAGTTCAAAAGCAGCAATTCTTCGGCACTCTGCTTTGTTTATAGTCTCTTTCACATCCATACATGACTACTGGAAAAATATGAGATTTTATTTTGTGTTTAATTTTTCCTTCCTTTTTGTGGAAAGGCTTCATTGTATGAAAAGATTCATAATTCTTTAATAAAATAAGGGAACTTTTAGACTTTGATGACCCAAAGTCATTAACCCAAAGACTATTAAGTCTCAAAGAACACTTTGAAAGTAAAGATTTACAAAGGGTGAAATTTTGTCTTTCTTTTTACATTTTAGATTTGCTCTTATTTTTTGTTAAACTATTAAAAAATGTTAACTGTATGTTGTGTGTTAGATTATATCTGCTAAATCATTATAAATGGAGATGGAAAAATGTCTATGGATTTTAATGTCCCTTTTCTAGTATTATGCTGTTATATGACTCTCATTTTAGTGTGCTTTAATTGGTCACAAGTCACAGTATCATGTCAGTTTTGTAAACAGTAACTTCAGACATCTTTCTACAAGCTTAGAATTTAAGTGGAAATAGCATTAACTGGGGATAACACTTGGAGTGGTTATAGAACCAGTTGTACTGATGGAAATTTGTCAAATGATCCTGCGAACTCCAGTTCCTTTAGATAAATATGTTTGAAGCTTTGTTTTTTCAAGAATGGTCAGATGATTATTTCTTTAGCTCTTTGGTGGAAGTGTAGGTTGTAAGCCTTCTACATAAAAATACTATACAAATCTGTAGGTGTCTGTTCAACATGAAACCTGGAAAAGTCTGTTTTGCCAACTGTGTATCATGTGCCATTTACTTTTTATTTTGCAAAGGTGCCTTTTACCATCAAAGCCCAGAAGATCTTTTCAAATGTTTTTAGATTGGGTGACATGTGGAATTAATTTCTTGCTGTATAAACTACCTATTTCTGAGTAACAAATTGCCTCAGAGCTTAGTGGCTTAAAAGAGCAAACATTTATTATCTCATAGTTTCAGTGAGCCAGGAATTCAGGAGAAACTAACCAGGGTGTTGCTGACATGGAGTCTCTCATAATGTTGGATTCAAATAATAAGGCAGATTTACGGTTAACTGAGCCTGGAGGGCCCTAGGATGGTTCTCTCACATGGTTGTGGACAAGAGGCCTCTCCATAGAGCTGCTTGAGTGCCTTTACTATATGTCAGGTGGCTTTTTCCAGAGAAAGTGATCCCAAAGAGCATGATGGAAGTACAGTGCTTTTTTTACAACCTTGTCTGGGAATCACCCTCCATCATTTTACAGTATCCTCTATTACATTGGTCAGTCTTAAATCAGTGTGAGAGGGAATTGCACAGGGCATAAATAGTAGGCATTGGGTATGATTGGGAGCCAGCATACTAAACAGTGGTGGCTAAGTGACCTTTGTTAGATGTTTTAAGATATAATATTTTTCTCTTATATACTGAGACTTTAATTTTAAAAATAGGTTTTTAACTTATTATTTAGTGAGCTTTGACTTTTGCTTTGTTTGCATGTTTTCTCCTTAAAATACTAGCAGACCTTTCTTTTTTTGCTTCTGTTTATTGTGTGGATACTTTTGTGTTACAGACTGTCTCTTGATGTGAAATGGTTTTCAAGCTGAACTTGAGGGGTTTCTGTCTTTTAATAGTTAGAATAAATCTCTATAATTATTGAGGTGTTGCAAGGTATTCTTAGTTCCTGCTTTTCAACAGTGTACACACAAAAATGAATAGGTTACTCAAAAGTATTTATAGATGTTTTTCTCTAAGAAAGAAAGGTATTATTGTTCTTGTTTCTCAAATTTATAGGAAGCAATGATAATGATAATAGTAGTAGTTAACTCTTAACATAATAACATAACACTTAACATAATAGCATTTATTATGTGCTACCATTTTTCAAAGTACTTTGCACATATAAACAATTTTAATCTTCACAAAACTATCGACTTGGTATAGTTATTATCTTCATTTTACAAATGATGAAAATAATGGAGACTCAAGAAATAACTTGTCCAGGGTCACACAGATAGTCATTGACAGCGCTGGGATTTAAACTATGCAGTCTGGCACCAGAGTCCACTCATTCTATTGATAGTGTTCTATCTCTGCTTATTCTGTACAGATATGAGTGACACATGTCATGTGACATCTTCATGTTCAAGTATTGAGGGCAACCAGACTGACTCAGAGTTTGCCTGTTTATTCATGTTTTGCATGTTTACTCAGTCATGCATTCTTTCATGAACCAAGCTTATTTGGCAAATATTTATTGAGTTTCTAAAATAGACCAAATAGAATATAGCAGTGAGAAAAGATATTAGTCTATAATGCCATGAAATTCAAATTATAATAAGGAAAACAGAATTAATAAATATTTAAATATAGGCTATAATGTCCAGAAATGATACATAATTTTTTTAAGCATGTAAGGGGGAAAATAGAAAATAAAACTATAAAACTTTTAAGTAGAGTTATTAGGACAGGCTTTTCTGGAAAAGAGCTTTTGAGCAAATATCTGGATGAAATAAGGAAACAAGTCATTGTCATGCAAGCGATGTTAATTATTGGTAATGTGTCATAGAAACAAGGCAAAAATGCTATTACGTTTAAATTGCTTTATACATTTCTTAGGTAAACTACATTAGTTATGCTCATCTCATCTTTTACATGTTGTACTTTTTTTTTTGTCTGATATGTTCATTAAGTTTACAAACATGATTGTGAATTTTTCCCCATTTAGTTGTTTTCTGGTTTATTAGTATGTATATATGTGTGTGTACTTGTACATGAATATGTATGTATGTATCTATATGTATGTATAAATATATACATACATATGTATGTGTATTTGTTTTTATAAAATTACAGGCATGTGATTTGAGATTGTTGTACTTTTTAGTTGGAAATGTCCCATTTTAACTCCTATTAAATTTCTTTGTTAAAATTTATCTTGAGAGACCAGTTCCTTTTCATTAGTGTTTGTATGGCATTTCTAAAACTTTCATTTATTTTAAAACTGTGTTCCTATTTGTATCTGGTATCTTTTGTAAGCATCATATAGTTATTATTTTTTAAATCTAGTTTGGCAGTCTTTTTCTTTTAATTGGAGTACTTAGTTCATATACATTTAATGTAAATATTGATATATCTTGGTTTAAGTCTTTTATCTTTCTGT